TATAGGGATATTTCTATATATCAAATGGGATATTATAAAACTGTTAATTATTATCACATTACAAATGACTAAATTTTAATCCCTGAAATCCTTGATAACACATATGTTCACTTTGTCTGGTTTTGTTGCAGTATGCCCCATATCCACATTCTTTAACAAAAATCCTGATTGCCAATTAACTTTAATTAAACGATAAAAAAAAATGAATTCCAAATATGGTAATAAAATTAATTGCCATGGCGGGTTATAACATTTAGCCCTTTTGAAGATGTGTTTTTCTTTCCCTTGTATTTAAATTCTTTATCATCCTTTTGTTCTTCATCTGGTGTATCAGAAGATAACTCTTTAACAGCAAGTATTACAGGCTTTTCAATGAATAGTGAATATTGATTACTAGTGGCAGTGAAAACTATATAGGCAACCGATTTGAGCAATGTAGGGTCTGTTGATGTGTTAGTAATGACATCTGATATTTGCAACCACCCTTGATCTTCTTTTACTCTTCTTTTAAGAAACCATGTTTGATTGAACGTTGATAAGACACCATAACTATAAAAAGAATAAAATCAGCTTAAAATCTGTCAAAGTCAGATAAAACAAAAGCAAGCAAAAATATTTACTGCAATTTATCGGCACACATATATCCACAAATTTGATTTATAGGTTCTTAAACTGTAGTACCTTTTGAACCTGCATATTTCCCCTCTCGAGCCTTCTTTTCCTGAAGATAAAGTGATACAATGTCCTTGTTAGAAGGTACCTTTAAAACCCATATTGTTTTATATTCAAAGGGTATAAGTGCTTTGTAATTTTCATCAACCACTATGAAATCTGGTTCTCCAGTCATATCTTCCAAAGCACAACCATCTAGAAAGCAAATTGATCTGTCTAGTGGCGTCAGAATGTCATGGATATTTATTTCTGATGCTGTCCATATATCTTTTCTGACTAAGGTTTCTGGTAAAAATAATTGTTATCACCAATTAAAATACGCTCTCCCAAATTTAATCAGTGACAACTTGGTGCAAGTTGTGTGGACAATTCGGTTTTATATGACCTTGTTGTTTGCAGTTGTAACAGGTTACCGGCGAACGGTTTTCAATCTTTGGTCTTTGTTGGACATTATTATTTCCTTTCATTAGGTTAACTAGTTGATCAATTAACCCTTGTAGTGGTTGGTTCACCCCTTGATTCATTCCTGGAATGTTAGGCATGAATTGTTCTGCTGAATATGCCGACAAGGTTCCTCCTCTAGAATATGTCATCTCATAAGCCTTGGCTCTGTCAATTGCTTCTTGAATAGCGTCAGGTAAGAATGGACTTACTGCTATAGATAATTCTGGTCGTAACCTTTCCATGAACATTCTTGCTTTGACTCTATTTGGATAGTTGTTTCCCCCATGTTCAATCCTCCTGAACAATTCGTATATGTGTGCTGCGAAAGCATCTACTGTTTCTCCAGGTAATTGTCTTCGTTTTTTTAATTCAGCTGCCCAACCTCCTTCCATGGCTCTAGTCTGTACCTTGTTTGAAAATTCGGAACAAAGCTTGCTGCAATTGTAGCAGCATCATGAGCATCATTTCAACGGTCTATATTTCCTCTGACTTGAGTCCACCATGTAGCAGCTCCTCCTTTTAATCTTGGTACTGTTGCTGCTAGTCTTCTATCATTGGCTACTCTATTCGTTACAAAGGCTTGTTCCATTTCTTCCAACCGTGTGATTGGGTTTTGGTCTCCTCCATAGTATTCTGGGTACTTAACATTATTTAATTCGGTCACAGCATGTTGTGGTGGCACTATTGCATTTACCGCTTGAGTTAATGTAGCTGCCAAGTTTTGTAAGTCTTGTTGATTCATTTGTATTAGATTTTGTTGTTGGTGGTTAGGTTGATTTACTTGATTAAAAAGTTGGTCGAAACCAAATGTTGATTC